AATCACACATGGAACAGCTTGGACATTCATTGAGAAACATAATGTTGCAAGAAAAAAGTAGAGGAAGTAGCGTCGAAACATTTTCTTGACTATTCAAATGTTGTGTTTTGTTGTTGTTTTACCTGCATTGTAAATCTGCACAGATCGCGTCTTTCTGTATTTGTATGCTCCTCGTAAAATTCCGAAACATATAGTAATCGCTTGGTCCGTCAGTCCGTCCGTCCGTCAGTGTGTCCGTAGCAAATGGTTTCCGAATGACAACTTGAGTATCCCTTGCTTAATTGAATTAAACTTATACAGATGGAAGATACAGGGAAGGGAAAGGAAAGACGAATGTTGACTTTGGGTTAAATAAGTCAGAAAAAATATTGGGAAAAATGGATTCCGGATGGTAAATTGATTTTCCCTTGCTTGGTTGGAATGAAACCAAAACACATGGAAGATTTAGAAAAGGGGAAGAAGCCTATTGATTTTGAAGTCAAATATGTAAAGGTCGGTTGGTTTCGGACTGTTATCCCACTATAAAAGAGGGACGAAAGATACCAGAGGGACAGTCAAACTCATAGATCGAAAACAAACTGACAACGCCATGGCTAAAAATAAAAAGACAAACAGACAAATAATAGAACAGATGACACAACATAGAAAACTAAAGACTAAGCAACATGAACCCCACCAAAAACTGGGGGTTATCCCAGGTGCTCCGGAAGGGTAAGCAGATCCTGCTCCACATGTGGCACCAGTTGTAACACATTTATACCGGTGAAAAAATAGCAGTAATAGCAGTAAAAGTACACACTTTAAATAAGGAGATATGGTATGATTGCCAATGACACAACCAACCAACAGAGTACATATGTATTTGTCTCTCCAAGCATACTAGTATTTTGAACCATTGAAAAAGGAAAAAAAATCCTTTCAATATCAGTTAGTTGTGCCAGATCGTAAGTTGTTATAAAATTTCTGTATGAAAGTTTACACCGACGTATACAGTCGACGATATCAAGCAAACAACATAATCTCATTGTAACTGCAAATATTATGTGATCTTTTATACCAATTTTAAAGACAAAAGTGTTTTTTTTCTGTACTGGATTTTATTATACGCTCTTTTATATAAAAATAAGGAGATGTGGTATGATTACCAATGCGACAACTATCCACCAGAGTTCAAATGACGTGGATGTGTGCAATTCTATGTCACTATACTGCTTTCAATAACAAGACAAAACCATGCCGTATAGTCAGCTATAAAAAGCCCCGACATGAAAAAATGTGAAAAAAATTCAAACGAGAAAAACTAACGGCCTAATTCATAATCATTCAATTTACGAAAAACAAATATGACAGACATGAATCAATGACAATCACTGAATTATTGTGGATGTGTGCAATTCTAGGTCACCATACGGCTTTCAACAATGAAACAAAACCATATCGTATAGTCAGCTATAAAAGGCCCCGACATGAAAAATGCGAAAAAAATCAAACAAGAAAACTAACGGCCCAATTCATAAAAATTAAATTTACGAAAAACAAATATGACAAACATGAATCAACGACAACCACTGAATTACTGTGGGCCCCTGACTTCGGACATGCATTTATACAGAATGTGATGGAGTTTAACATGTTTGTGAGCGCTCAATCCTCCCTCTAACCTGGGACAGAGTTGTAACAACACAACATAAGAACAAAGAGTAAAAATCAGTTACAAATGGCTTAACTTAATAGGTTGGTACGAAGCAAAAAAAAAAAAAAAAACCCATGCAACTAACATTAAAAAATATACACAATGCACCGACGTAGGATTGCTCACAGTTACTGGAAGCTATATCAAAACCAATTACAACTAACAAATAAATCATGTTCTCTCAGACTAAAGTATCAATCAGTACACATCCAACAGATTTAGTGTGAAAACATCATAAGCAGTCATAAGAAATACATGACCTTGTGTAATGCCAAAATATAGGTAAACAGTATCGACAGGATGTAGGATCACGAGGTTCTCATTACTGTACATATATTTTTAGAATTTATCATTAATTGAGAATGACATATTAACAATATCAATAGTAGCAAATAAATGACAATGACATTAAAAAGCAAAGGTGGGGTTTAGAAAATGCCCCAACCAGTATGCTATGGATTAATTTTTTAACAAACCGGCAAAATCAATGTCAATACCGATATAACAATATTTAAAGATTTTACAACGGTGCTAAATAGATAACCTTTAAGAATGAGCTTACTCAAAGGATCAATGAGTTTACATTGATTGTATTAAATTTACGAGCTTTATAATCAACATCACCGTAAAATTTAAGATGTGGTGTCCCGTTTTGATAAGATTTCCACCAATACAAGTGCCTTTACAATTCGTAATCATTGAAATTCTGATTGCTAACCGAACGGTAAAAGTCGCTTTAACCGTAAATATTTCCCCGACGGTCTGTGTTCATGCTAGTGCAATTCATCCATTGCTAAGTGTAAGTTTTTGCTTCGCGTGTGACATTATTTTATGTCCTAAAGTGACACAATTGCCGTTAGTATCTTTGATAACGACGAGGCAATTGCATCTTTTTATTCTTTAAACAGTTAACTAGAAACTTGTTTTATACATGATTTCGTGTATAATAAGCTATACGAATTCACTATGAATTATATACTGAAAGTTCATATATGCTGACTTTGACTTAGGAGGCCTATGTTGTTTTTAACTATGTGATGTCTTTTGAACTTTACTAGGCCAATCATAATTTATAAATGAATTTGTCATAGATTACCTATTTAAGATGTATCGGTAAATTGCTAAAATTCCCTACTGACATTAATGCTACTGAGAGAAATAGCGCTTACTCGAAGTACTGTTGCAGTCCTTAGAGTACTGACCTAAAAGATCCAATGGCCTGGTGCTTATTATTTCTGTCTCTTGGTGGTTCCAGTCAAAAATTGCCTCCACAAAGAGTGATAGTTTGTTCTGTTGAGTATTTTTTTTCCTCTTACGTGTTTTTTTCCTATAAGTGCACACTGGATATCTTGTCTTGGGGAGGGATAAATCCTACTTTGTAAAGAATCACTCTGATTCAAACAAAAAATTCTCTGAAACTGACATTATCAAGATGCTTGATTTCTTGATTGACAACATATTTGTTACGTTTGGAGGACGCGTTTTTCAACAAACTGTCGGAATTCCAATGGGAACCAATTGTGCCCCTCTTCTTGCCGACTTGTTTCTTTATTATTATGAGATTGACTTCATGTAGGAATTTCTTAGGAAGAAAGATAAGAAGTTAGCAATATCCTTTAACTTTACGTTCCGCTATATAGATGATGTTTTCTCACTAAATAATACAAAATTTGGTGACTATGTTGAACGAATCTATCCCATCGAACTAGAGATAAAGGATACTACAGATACAGTTAAGTCTGCCTCATATCTTGACTTACATCTAGAAATTCACAATGAGGGTCGGTTGAAAACAAAACTTTACGGCAAAAGAGATGATTTCAGCTTCCCAATTGTGAACTTTCCATTTCTATGTAGCAACATTCCAGCAGCGCCTGCATACGGAGTATATATCTCCCTATTGATACGATATTCCCGGGGTTGTATTTCCTATCATGATTTCCTTGATAGAGGATTGCTGCTCACAAGGAAGCTATATAACCAAGTTTTGCCAAATGGTGAAGTTGAAATCATCCCTTCGTAAATTTTACAAACGCCATCACGAGTTGGTTGACCGTTATGGAATAACCGTTTCACAGATGATATCGGATATGTTCCTTATGTCGTAACTACAATACCCTTCCCTTTTCACGAATGTGACCTACCGAATTATACTATTTACCGGATTTGTAATAATATAAGCAACACGACGGGTGCCACATGTGGAGCAGGATCTGCTTACCCTTCCGGAGCACCTGAGATCACCCCCAGGTTTTGGTGGGGTTCGTGTTGCTTAGTCTTTAGTTTTCTATGTTGTGGCATCTGTACTATTATTTGTCTGTTTGTCTGTTTATTTTTGGCCATGGCGTTGTCAGTTTGTTTTCGATCTATGAGTTTGACTGTCCCTCTGGTATCTTTCGTCCCTCTTTTTGGCTTTCCAGAATGTTAGTAATTTTAAAAATATTCAAAAGTCTTTGGTTTAATTGATCTTCTAGTTTTTGTTTGATGACGCATTGATTAGGAGGCAGTGTCTGCACCATGCAGCCACTCAACCATTTTGTATAGCAAATCTAACCGTTGACATTTTATTCTAGTCTCCAACGTTGAAACAGCTGCTCACTCCTTGCACAAATAAATAGCAGTTTCCCCCCGTCATGTAGCCTTTATTGTCAATATTAATGTTATGCATTATGCTTTGAAATGTCGTTAAAATCATTAATTTTTCCAGAATATAGCACATTCTAATTGTTACAAATGTAATACACTCTCTCATGACAAACATAGCAGTTATTTCATATTAAACTTGAGAGATACCCATTATAGATAGACTTGTTAAAACAATCATATGTGTACTGGTAAAGACTTGAACACACCATGGCTTATCTCATGGCACTCATATATACCTTTTTACAGTAAAAGTTTCGAAACTTGAAATACAATAATTTAATTTGTTTTTATCTGGAACAAAGAAGATTTAAATTTTAATAAATATTACGTCTGTACAAGTTAGTATAGAAAGTCCCTGGTCTGCATGTCTGTATCTAAATAAAATTTTCCAGTGTGAATTAAGAAATAGAGTTATCCCTCTTTGTACTACTTTTGAAAGAAAGTAAAAGTATAAATGTTTTTAAAACAAAAATGTTAAGCTTAATTCTTGAAAATACAATTCGCAGTTAACAATTTTACTATAAATACACTTTTTAATATTTTCTTTATGTCCATTGTAGAATCATTTGATAAATTATTTTTTTAATGGTCCTCAGATAGATTTTAGAGATGAGCGATCTAAACCAATGAAAACTGTTCTAACAAAAGAATGTCGGTTGGATTAACAACCGGAAGTGGGTTAGTGGACACTGTCCAAATTCAGACTTAGAAATGGACTAGGCAAATAATTACATCTTTCAGATGAGTGACCAAACATTCACGACCGAATCTCCCGTCTTACATGTCGTGGTTATTGGATTTCACCACAAAAAGGGTTGTCAGGTATTTGTAGTGTAATGATAACAGTGAGAATGGAAGGCGTTACTGTTTATGTTTGAGGACACAGATATCATAATTTCTCGAGAGTTTAGAAGGAAGGATTACCTTAATGTCTGTTGCAGTTCCCTTTCGTTCTTCATGATCCAATGTTTTCCAATGATTTTTTTACACTTTGTAAAACCACCCTTCGTCTTTAGAACAGATTAATCAATTTGAGTTTCTATATTTACTACAACTGGTATTGGGTCCGTTCGCTCCCTGAACATGTTCGCCCCTTGGTTTGTTCTCACCTTGTATTTATTCGAAAATACAGGTTGAAGTATATATGTTTTTTAGATGTATATATCCAAATATTTATATTTTCATGAATAAATTCGTGAATTTTCTAAATGAAATTTTTTTATCAGATGATAAATTTTTTAATGTTAATTATGTATGATTAATGTTAATTGGTATTTTAAAAGCTAATTTGGTATTATTGTTATAAATGTGTTTGTAAATCATGATTGTTGTTATAACTGTAGCTTTGGTCACAGTGTAGTTACCCCACCATGACAATATCTATTATTCATTTCGTCAAAATAATTAAAAAAAAACACTATAAAGAAAATCGGTTTACGCTTTTAGGATGTCCCTTTATTTTAAAACAATAAAACAAACTTATTATCTTTATATTATAGCAATATTTGCGACTCATTTCACAAAAAATCTTAAGAGAAAAAACCTTTGAAATCCTCTTTTGGTTTGTTGTCTCAGTGACGAAAACCCCATTTCACATTAATACCGGTTTCGTATCTTTTAATTGGTCTCCTTTCTCTTATGTTTTGTCCATTATATTTACATTTGTCATTCTACTTTTTATAATAGCATAAACATTGTAAATGCAAGATATACTAACTAAAAACGATAAAAAAATTATTCAAAACAAAGCCTTTAAAGAGGGTGCGAACATGATTTTGGGCAAATGGACCCAGATTGACTACAACTAGCCTCAATTTGGGCTAGTTAAACTGGTGACATTTTGAATTAATCTGGATCTTGATATGGTACATGTACAATGACACATGCAATGGACATAATTACACCGAGCATCTGTTAGCTATAGGTAGGGATGGATTAATCTAATATAATCGTCCTGAATATGCATGAAATATTTGCCACTGGACGTTAAGCAACCAACAATCAATCAATCAATCTAATATAAACCCCCGCCATAGGCCATGGAAAAATGATGGCTTCCCCTTACATGAGAAATTTTGAAGGGTACCACGATTTCAAATAGCTACATGTATCATGGTTAAAATCTAGAAAATCATGTGGTTTCTCTACTCAAACATGTCAAACTCTAAACTAAAGAAAAAAAATTAAAAGAATTTGTGTACCTCGAATAACTTGTGTATGTATCCTCACTATCCTGTAGCAAAATATTGATGTGCTATACATGTAGGTATGCCAATTCGAGAGTGGACATACAATTTTATTGTTTATTCAAATGTCATAATTATACATGTATAAGTATCCAAATCTATGTTAGAGTAGAGAAGAAATACTAAACAGCTAAGTCTAAGTAGATTTATAGATATCAAATCATATGGTCAATACATATATATATATATACAGTTTGAGGAGACTCAGAGGAATATTCCTGTTGACTTTCAAAGTCATAAAGGTCAAATTAGGATTGAGGTTAAACATTAATATTGCAGATGCCCTTTGGACAAAACAGCTCATTTATTATATTTAAACCACTTTGTTTATGCATATGTTGTTAAAAAGTATAGACAATGTTTATGGAAATTTCAACATGATCATGATGATAACATTTTCAATATTCATCTCCCATGACTCCCAAGTACTTTCATGTTTGATAGATGAATACAGTGTTAGTATGATGTAAAAGAAAGACAAGGCAGATACATGTAATTATTTCTGGACTAATAATATACAACTAAACAATGTACACATACATAAATATGCTCTTAAAATGACATTCTATGAGAAATTAAGGAAAAGAACTTTATAAAAATCAGTTATATATATTGGTTGGGGGTTTACAAAATGCTGTTTAGTGATCTGTAGATAGAATGTTCCAATTGGATAAAGCACAATTACCTGTAACTACTTTCAATATTGTACAATGTTGTAGGTGGAGTTTTCTTATCCTCCTCTGATAGAAGGGAACCCAGTTGACAGTAACCAGGTACCAGAAGAATGGAAACATTTACCTTCCCTTGGCGTGCCAGATGGGGCCCACAATTACACTAAAGGTTTGGTCCTTCTTGCTATTTTGGATTCAGTTCTTGTGTTGATACATTTTAACATCTTGATAAAATTATAAGATGAAAACTAAATTTAAGATTGATAAATAGAAAATGTTAGAAACCACTGAAATAAAATTTACACTAATTTAAAGTTTGATTAATTTAAACTTTTTAAACCCCTTAGAAATACAATTTTCAGATGTAAACTAAATTAAAGTTTGATATTATAATTTAAGCTGGTAGAAACCCTTAAAAAATATAAATATATTGTTCATATCAAAAGAAATATACATATTAAGTCAACTACATTTTTGTATGAGTCAATGAGACATGCCAATTGTGACTTTTAAGAATTGGTCTGCATTTTAGATATTTTAAAAATTAGGTTAAGATCATATCATTTGTGTCAGAAGAGAAATCTAAAGTAAAATGAAGAATGCAAACTTAGTTGGGTCACCTTTTTTACCATAAATTTGCCACAGATCAATATACAGGGAAACACTATTGGGTGATAACCTATTTTTAAACTCGTCTGCATAAAAGTGGTCTTCAGTGAACAAACTAAACTGTTGAAATTAGTGAAGAAGTTCAAACTTGAAATTAAAAAAAATCAACTGAAAATCTTCATTAGTCATGTTAGTCTTCAAAAGTAATTATAAGAAAAATTGTGTACATAAAAAAAAATCATAGAGGCTTGAAATGTTTTGAATAATCACAATTAGGTATCTTATTTTTAATTTTGTATTTTAGACACTATATTCTTCCATCTGCCTTCAAGACAAGAGAAACATAAGACAGTATATGGAGTGGCTTGTTACAGACAGATTGATACTAAGGTATGAATATGTTATATGGAGTGGCTTGTTACAGACAGATTGATACTAAGGTATGAATATGTTATATGGAGTGGCTTGTTACAGACAGATTGATACTAAGGTATGACTATGTTATATGGAGTGGCCTGTTACAGACAGATTGATACTAAGGTATGACTATGTTATATGGAGTGGCCTGTTACAGACAGATTGATACTAAGGTATGAATATGTTATATGGAGTGGCTTGTTACAGACAGATTGATACTAAGGTATGAATATGTTATATGGAGTGGCTTGTTACAGACAGATTGATACTAAGGTATGAATATGTTATATGGAGTGGCTTATTACAGACAGATTGATACTAAGGTATGACTACAGTGTTCCAGCTAAGTCGTTTTCACAGGGCGGTCCGCCCGCCCTTTCCCGAGTGCCGCCCTGTGCCCTTTTTCTGACGCCCTGTGCCCTTTTTAAGACGCCCTGCCCTTTTTCGTAAGTCCATGCCTTTATTGCCGAAATATTTTGATGAAAATACAATTATTCTACCTGTCATCATATTTATGACAAGTTTATGACCCACAGCTAATTAACATTTACAGCAGGTGTAATAAGTTGTGATTACAGTTAATCCGCTTATCGACATCGGATGGGTCATTAATCCGTTAATTAAACTTCATAATTGACCATTGTAATAATTTTTTCTCATTAAATTCGGTCAGTCAGCATTTCAAATTCAATATTTCTCAAAAGATGACAATTTGCGTTTGATGTATCCGTAGATTGTCTGTTGTTTATATGTCAAAGATTTTTTTTTAAAGTGACTGCTTTGTTTACATTTGTTGAAAGCCATGTGCTTTTTTGGCGGGAAAATTCGGAAAACCCTTTTAACAAGAAACAGTTACATTAATATATTTCATTGTTATTTATTTATAGACAGTAAGATTTTCATTTTGATTAACTGCTAAGATTATTTCATTAAAAATGAATACTTTCTTGGTGAAACTGATAATACTTTAATACTCTACATCTAGGGAGAGGGGGGGGGGGGGCATTTTTTATATATAATATTACAAATATAAGTTTAACAGTCTGAAAAGACATGGTTAAACACTGGGCTACATGTATTAGGCATTTCAAACATATATTATTGCCTTTATAAGAACATTCAAGACTATTGATAAGTATGTACCTCAGTACCTGTAGTAAAAATACCCTGGTAGGGCCTTAAAATTTCTACTGGACCCTTGGAAAAAAGTTTTGGGATCCAGGTTGGCCCCTGGAGAAAATGTAAGGAATTGTTCCTGACTGTATTGCAGATCTAGTGTATTATATATATATTTTAACTGACATGTACAATTCATTTCACTAATGAAATAAAAATAATTCTACAAAATGCTGCTGCGCTCTGCATTGCAACTTAACCTTAGACCTACATGTACCATGCATCAAAAATGTTCTAGGGAAGACTGAGCTAGTAATATACGTCCTTGCATGGTCCCTTTAATGCTGTTGACTAAACCCCCTCAAAACTCCTAGCTGAAACCCCTGCTGTTAACATAAGACAATGTTTGACATGCCCTTTTTTAAATATCAATCATCGTGCTTAAGTGCCCTTTTCATGATTGGCTCCCTGCCCTTTTAAAATCCTAGCTGGAACACTGGACTATGGTAACAATATTTTTCCTTAGATGGCTGTGAAAAAAACAACATTTATTTATTAAAAGTATATAAATGAAATAAGTTGCATTATACAATGTTGTATCTACAATTTATATAATGTCAATTGTAAAACTAATAACGAGACAGACTGAATTAATGAAGAAAAGTGTTACAGTAAACAATTATTCAAGTCATAGATTGATTGATTGATTGGTGTTTAACACCACTTTCAACACTATTGTGCTATTTCGTGGCGGTCAGTTTTTATTGGTGGAGGAAGCCGGAGTGCCCGAAGAGAATCACCTACCTTTGGTAGGAAAACTGACAATCCTAGTCAATTAAGATTGGAGTCGAGTGTACCTGCCCCGTGCGGGATTCGAACTCACAACCTCAGTGTTGACTGGCTAGTGATACAGTAGTTTGACTACTTAGACCACTCGGCCACCAAGGCCCCTTCAAGTCATAGAGGGGAAACCTTTATATTTGATTATGATTTTTGGTGAAAACAGGTCATAAGAACATTTCACTTTCCTTTTTTCAAAGTTTTCGTCTCACCTGCAATTAATTTCACTTATGTGATTGTAATGTGTGACTGTGACAACATTAATTATTTCAATAAAACTTTATATTTCAAATATAGACAGTCTAGATAACCAATATTATGATTATAGGTACCAGTTATTCTGAAATTTCTGACTTTCATATGACCGTTGTCCTCTACCTGTAGTAGATAATTCGTTCAATTTCTATTAACAAGTGAAATGGATCTGTCTGTAGAATGTTGTTCACCTTACCTTTATCATGTGTTCATTGAAATATTATGGGTTTTATTTTGGTGAAGAGGCTATTCTTTTTATTGGGGGATAAGCAGGCCTATTTGTGTCTTAACATTTAAGTTAATGACACTATGATTGTTTTTGTGAAAATTTATCATGAATGAATAGTTTTCAAATAAGCATTGGTCAGTAGGTCAAATAAATTTTGTATTATTTTTGTAAAAGGAGACAGATTTGTAAAAGCAAATTGCTTGTTTCTGAATCCTTAATATTATTTCATTTGTATAATATTGTTTAATGTTGATTTATCTGAATAAATATTGTTTAAACTAAATTTTGGTATTTTGATGCCTATTGTACTATATGCAAATGCATTGTTTCTTAGTGCATTTGATAACACACAGAAAATAACCTCTTATATGGTCTGTATTTACTACTGAGATGTAGAAATATTCAGAATAAAAACCATAACAACAAAAAAAACATTCTTTATCCTTTCATTTATTAGTATAGATAATTTAGAACCTAAATCGACTTTTGGAGAAATTCATCTTATTGTTTACAATTTTGATACTGGATAAATTTATTTCCAGGATCTTGTTAACAAATCATCTGATGTGACAAGAAGTTCAGTTCAAAAGAGTGTGTGTGTTCTCAGTAAATTGGTAAGTTTGCAGTACACGTATGTGTGTTTTTTTATATGTACAAAAATATAAATTGGTAAGTGTACAGAACAGAGTTGTTTCGATGTATTATCCCAATATCCATTTTTTGCTTTGACATTTTTATGCCCCTGCCGAAGCGGAGGGGACATAAAGTTTTACCCTTGTCCGTCTGTCCGTCCGTATGTCCCAAAGTTGGTTTCCGTTCTCTAACTTTAGTTTGTCTCAACCAAATGTTATGAAACTTATACACAATGCTTATTACTACATAATACAGATCAAGTTTGAAATTTGGGTGGCGTCACTTTTACCGTTCTCGAGTTATGTCCCTTTATAAACATAAAAAATGCTGAATTTTTCGTTTCCATTCTCTAACTTTAGTATGCCTCATCCAAATGTTATGAAACTTATACACAATGCTTATTACCACAAAATACAGGTCAAGTTTGAATTTTGGTGTTGTCACTTTTACCATAGTAGAGTTATGTCTGTTTGCAAATGGAAAAATTGATGAATGTTTTTGTTTCTGTTCTGTAACTTTAGTTTGCCTCAACCAAATGTTATGAACAATACTTATTACCACAAAACTCAGATCAAGTACAAATTTGGGTAGCGTCACTTTTACCGTTATTCAATTATGTCCCTTTACAACTTTATATGATATGCAAGCAGGGGTATCATCTGTGTCCCATGGACACATTCCCCATTTATTAACCTGTATTTTGATGTAGCTTAATTCCAGTTTGACCATATTTGGTTATATAGAGTGATAAAGACTTGTATGAAATAATTTGTACTTGCACGCCCAACTGTGAAAGCAGGCCTAGGAACAACTTGACTCTGTCCATCATTCTGTCAATCAATCTGAAAGACCTTGAGTAGAAAACTTTCTTCAAAGATTTCTTGGCTTCTATGAAAGGGAATAACTATATATTTGGTATGCCACATTGAGATGTTGAGGTTTAGTGTGTAACAGATCAACCATGCAGCTACTTCCTGTTTGCTGTTAGTTTGAACATCTTTATACAAAGAATATTTTGTCAAACTTTTCTTGACTTTGAGGGAAGCAAATAATTTAATATGTGGTCGGAAAATTGATAATGTTCAGTTGTAACGTGTAAGAAAATTTTACTTCTGCTGTGCAGCAACTTCTTGTTTGCAGATAGTTTTAAAATTTTACAACACATTGTATAAGGAACTATTTTTTTAAATGAAGAAATAAATTCTCTGGTTGGACAAACTGGTTTGCTGCTAATGAAATCCTACATGAGCATTTTCTTTAAATATTAAGATTCTGTAAACTTTTTCTGAAGTATAAATTGTTGTGCCAAATTAATCGTTATATTCAAACATTGTCATCCTTAACATTACATCAACGTAAGTAATGTATTGGAGTACAATTGAACATAGTTTTAGAAATTATCTTTATTCCAATCAATTGCATGTAGAAACCCAGGTCCAGACCCTGTTTTGCTTTTGTTAGATAAAGTAAATGGAAAAGGAAATGAAACCAAACCAAACAACATGAGTTTGATTAAAACATACATCTCATGTCATTGAAGTTGTCATAATGGAAACAAGATAAAACAACTCAAAGGAGACAGCCATGGTTAGGTATATACATGAGTCAAATTTATTTAACCTCATGTACTAAGCAGTCAGATTAGGAATTTGGTTTTCAGCAAGAATTGAGATTTCAGCAGTTTCTTTCCACTTGTAAAAAAACATTTAAGGATAATTAGGTGATAGAACAGATTTCCATACTGAAATAGTTTGCATCATTCATGTCATTAGTAAATTAAAAAAAAAAAATTATATTTGTTTTAGCCTCTCTTTGGATTGATACAAACCAAGTTAGAACTAATTACACATGCATACTTTGATGAGAAGGATTTCAGTAAAGTGGAGTTGTTAGAGGAGACCTACAAAAATCTTACTACCTCATTAAGTGACAGCTTGAAAGAAGGATCACATATGTGTTTAGGTAAGATAAAGCTCATTACATTAGGCATGGAGGAGGATTTCCTTTGTATTGAAGTAAGAAACATTTGAAAACCATACTCTACATTTAATGACAATATGAAAGGGATCCTCATAACAGATAAAAATATGATAAAGAAATCTAGTTGGTTTTTAGATAGTTTTAGAGGAGGCAAAATATTCTTCTTTTCCAGGCACTCTGGCTTCCTCCACCAATAAAAACTTTCTACCATGAAATAGCACAATAGTGCTGAAAGTGGCGTTAAATACCAATCAGTCAATCAATCTTTTTAGAAAAATTTCACTGCAACTCTGGATTTTGATAATATCTATTCAGATATGCCAGTCAGTGTGTAATAAAACAGACAAGGCACCTGAATTATAGATATAAAAAAAAAACATGAAAAAATACCAAAAATACTGCACAGTACAACAAACCACATCAACCAAAACAACCAACTCCTATGAACACATACAAACAATTATACCTCAAGCTACAAAGTAGTGAGAACATACAGTTTTAACCCTCCTCTATCAGTCCAACCGTTAGCCATCTTTGTTTCCAGATGCTAGATCAAATACTTTGTATTGTACCACAACCTTACTTTGATATATGGTCACATATAATGAGAGAAGGATGCCTATTGATATAGTGGTCATTGACTCATTGTGTCTCAAGTCAATTCAAGGTCAAAGGTAAAAAAAATAGAACAAAATTTGTGCAGAAACGTGGTCTGCTGATGCGAAAACAATTTTATTTTATCATATTGCAACCTTACATGGATATAGTGAAATATAAAGAGTAAGATCCTTATTGATTTTGAGGTCGCTACATAGAAGTTCAAGGTCATTAGTACTAAAAATAGACCAAAATTTGTGTGGAAAGTGGTTTCATGATGCTTAGATTACTTGACATCAGGTTGCAACCTTACTTGAATATGTGGTGTAGGTGTACTGAGAGGAAGATCCCTATTGATTTGAAATCTCTCAGTTTAAGATCAAGGTCATAGTTGCTGGATTTTTGTTTTACAATAACTGTGGTTAAACATCCAAGTTGACAGCCTTAATAGAAGTTATGATGATGTGATATTTCTGGTTTTTATGCCCCGCCGTAGCAGATTAAGCTTTACCCTTGTCCGTCTGTACGTACGTCACAAAGTTGGTTTCCGTTCTCTAACTTTAGTTTGCCTCAACCAAATGTTATGAAACTTATTCACAATGCTTATTACCACAAAACACAGATCAAGCTTGAATTTTGGTGGCGTCACTTTAACCGTTCTAGAGTTATGTCCCTTTACAAATGGAAAAATTGATGAATTTTTCGTTTCCGTTTTTTAACTTTAGTTTGCCTCAACCAAATGTTATGAAACTTATACACAATGCTTATTTCCACAAAACACAGCTCAAGCTTGAATTTTGGTGGCGTCACTTAAACGGTTCTAGAGTTATGCCCCTTTACAAATGGAAAAATTACTGAATTTTTCGTTTCCGTTCTCTAACTTTAGTTTTCCTCAACCAAATGTTTTGAAACTTATACACAATGCTTATTACCACAAAATACAGATCAAGTTTGAATTTTGGTGGTGTCACTTTAACTGTTCTACAGTTTATGCCCCTTCACTAATGTGAAAATTGCTGAATTTTTTGTTTCCGTTCTCTTACTTAAATTAGCCTCAACCAAATGTTATGATACTTATACACAATGCTTATTACTACAAAATACAGATCATGTTTGAATTTTGGTGGTGTCACTTTTACTGTTCTAGAGTTATGCCCCTTTACAAAGGGAAAATTGCTGAATTTTTTTGTTTCCGTTCTCTAACTTAAGTTTGCATCAACCAAATGTTATGAAACTTATACACAATACTTATTACCACAAAACTCAGATCATTTACAAATTTGGGTAGAGTCACTTTTACCATTCTTCAGTTATCAGGGGTTCAAATTAGCGGTGGTCTGAGGTCGGTGACCTTCCATTTACGAGTTCGGACCTTTCCATTGGTAGTTAGGTACACCCAATGGCCTTTTGTATTTTTGCAGGTTAAAAAGTTACAAAAGCATTTTGTAATCAAGAATAAAAATAATCTTGAAATATGCAACTTTACTGAAAGGAAACTTATGTATTTGCTTAAATTCTTCACAATTGATTTGCTGTGTAGTCATGTGACCGGTAGCCGTACAAGATCCCGGGAAACTCGAGAATATAATATTAAAACATTACCAGTAAACGGTATGAGTCTGTTTGGTTTTTCGAGTGACCCCTTCCAAAAGAAAACCTGATGAAATAGGGGATACAAGGGGGTGATTGATGAAACAGCTTAACGCAGCCAGAAAGACAGGATCTGACTAAAGATCAAAAATAGGTCAGAAAAACGAACGTAAAATTTTCCCACAACAGTGAAAGGGAAGGTGCCCTGGTTCATTGGACGACAAAAATGAAAACTTGACCCCATAAAAAATCATGATGAAAAATAACCACCCAGCATCTATGTATCTTGCCAAAACAGTGGTTAAAAGAAACTAACCCCAAGTTTGAAAACGAAGTTGGACTGTTATCTGACACAAAGTTAGGCCAGTGTTCTTAAGCAGCAATTGAAACCAAAGCCATTATAAAGGTACAAAGTGTTATTTAACACAGCATATAGTGTTGGAAAAAGGGGAAGCCTTTTTCTGACTGAATTTATTTTAAAGATTCAGAAAAAAATGAGGTTAATGTAGTAAAATATGATGGTTGTTTTGTTATGGTAAGCATTTTCTGTTTTTATAATTTGAGTTTTCAATAAAAATTGGACTTTCTAAGAATAATGGAGGACCTTTAAGTATCTTTGGTCAAAGGTCCTGGACCTTCCATTACTTAAAGTAAATTTGAACCCCTGGTTATGTCCCTTTATAACTTTATATGATATGCAAGCGGGGGCATCATCTGTGTCCCATGGACACATTCTAATTTATTTGAAACCTGGTTCATTGGGCTATGTTAAGTTTTTCTGGTTAAGTTCATTTCTCAGGTATTATATGAAAGGACATACTATGTAGATGTGCATATCGACAGGAAATAATGATTCAATTTTTTTTCTAGGAGTTAAGCCCCTTTGAACTTATTGGCCTCAATATACTACTGCAACAGTTTGCCATCGCAACTCCTCTGAAACCACACCACAGAATTTTATGAAACTTTGTAGATAATAAGGACATACTATGTAGATGTGCATATCGACAGGAAATTATGATTCAATTTTTTTTCTAGGAGTTATGCCCCTTTGAACTTATTTGACTCAATTTACTATTGCAACAGTTTGTCATCGCAACTCCTCTGAAACCACACAACAGAATTTCATGAAACTTTGTAGTTAATGAGGACATAATATGTAAATGTGCATATCCACAAGAAAATTTTTATCAGTTGACTTTTGTAGAGTTATGAGTCTTTGAACTTAGGAATCTGGTGAGATTTTGTTTGTCCAGTGACAATGTGGGGGCGTGGGGTATGTGAGCGTGCTCACAAAGGTTCTTTAATTGGTGCATGGAATAATTGTATGATGAACATGTCTGTGTGAAGGGTTCGTCTGACCTTGGCCTCACTTTCATGGTTTGTTGGTTAACATTAATGTTCTGTTGTTAGGTTTGTTTCAGTGATACTATAAGCAATAGTTGAGATATATTTGGTGTTTGGAATGATAGTATTATGTGCATGTCTTTCGAGCAGTGGTCATCTGATCTTGACCTTATTTACATCCATTATTAATTATGAAAAGTTTATGTGATACTTGTAGTAATACCTTTATCTTAAAGACTTTCAACATAAAATCAATCATGATCGACACATTTCAGGGTGTCCACTCTTGTTAACATTATATTTCTATTTCTGGTTTTTGCTGTGTGATAGATATGTATAAGAATAGATCATTATATGTTGGGCAGTTAGAAAGATTCAGAATTACAAAACAGAATAATCACAAAAAGTAATTTACTAATACTGTTTTACAGGGATGTCTGTGAGAGATGTTGTGGTTGAATTCAAGCACAAGATTGTTGTACTGTTTAAACTAATACTATTGGAAAGACGGGTATGTTTTTTTATAACTTTTCAGAAAATTTACATTATGACTTTGGATGAATTTCTTGCCCTTGATAAGACCATTCAGAGTTAATAAGCTGGTTTTTAGGGGAATAAATATTTCATGTTTTGCATTCATTGTCTTACATTTAAAGCATTTGAAAAAAATCTTCTCCTTTGAAACCACTGTGCAATTTTTGATGCAACATAGCCACAATCATATCGCTGACCACATGCGTAGCTAGATTCTAAAGAACCAAAAGAATATACAGAAACAGTTACAATTACAAATACAAAGACATAAACATGGATGGGTTATAATATACAATCAAATTAGAAAAAAAATCATTTTATTCTGTTGTATTTATAATGGTAAAATAGTAACTAGTGCATTGCACTAAGTATATTTGTGCTAAAAATTTAAATGTGTAGAGGAAAATAAGATGGCAAACAATTTTGTAAAGTGTTAACAAGTGAATCCAAATATTTATCTCCAAAAACACAAAATGTAAAAATTTTACAATACCCAAGTGACTATGACCTAGGTAAAAGGAAGTGAGGCCATGTCAGGTTTCTTATTTGTAAATGAACCAAGCATTTCTGTTATAGAAAATTGTTTTGTCTTCTGGTACTCCCATACATAGGTATCCACTTCAGGGATTCAATCGAAATGATTCACACAGGCGTTGGTTCACCAGACGGAGTTTAATTTAAACTATACATATGTTTACACATTCTCTTTTTGGTACACCTGTCAAAAGATTTTGTAATGGTTTGTTACTTGTTAACACTTATTCCTATTTTTACAGGTATTATTTTCTGGTACACCTGTTGAAAGGTTGTGTAATAGTTTGTTATCAGTTTTATCATTATTTCCAGGTAAGCATTGTCTCAGAATTAGACACCTTTTTTCATAATTGCATGTACCTGGGCACTGACATAAGAGAAGGGAAACTTTACATTTGTGGTTAAGCTCTTTTCATGCCCCTTGCTACAATACTAGATAGGCATTACATTTCTGGTCTCTGAATCTTAAGGTAAACCTGTATTATGTTAAAGTTTTTGATTGCAGGTTATGATGAAGTTGTAATAACATCAACTTGAAACATAGTACAAATATAAAAATATGGTTTGATTGACAATGAGACAACTCTCCACCAGAGACCAAATGATGTAAAAGTTAAGAACTATAGGTCAACAATGAACAAAATCCATACTACATAGCAAGCTATGAAAGCCCTGACATGACATATATAAAACAAACAAGAAGACCAACAATCTGATTTCTGTACAAAAAAATAAACAAAAAAACAAATATCATATACAGCAACAAAGGACTGCCACTGAATTACAGGCTCCTGACATGGGACAGGCAAATATAGAATGTTGCAGTCCCCAACTCTTTCCCCCTAAGCTTGGACAGTTGTATAACTGCATAACATTAGAACAAAATATAAAATTCAGTTGAAAACTGGCTTATTTGATCAAATTGATCCAAAGCACAAAAACAACTAGCAAAACCACTAAAAACACAAAATACAGATCTGAGAGTACTCTCAGTTTATATTTAAAACTAGTTCAAAGCCAATAACAATTAATGAAAAATTTATTTATCTAAAACTAAAATATCAAACAGTACACATTCAAAGGATTTGTTGTAAAGATGTGATAATTATAAACAGATAAAAACATGATCTTGTGCAATGCCAAAATATAGGTATCAACAGAATGTAGGACAGTGCATTGTCGTTGCTGTATAGGAATAATATTCAGTTGTGTTTTAATTTGTTGATAACAAAATCAATATTTATTCTGATAAAAACAATATTCAAGGATCTAATAACAGTGTTAAATTTGTAGCTTAATGTACATTATAATATTTGAACTTTCTAGATTTAATGCCAAATTACGGTTATGACCTCAGTTCACTGTTTACATTATGATATTATGATATTTGAACTTTCTAAATTTAATGCCAAATTACAGTTATAACCTCAATTCATTGTTCAATGAACATGGAAATGTGATAGTGTGAAATCAATACATTGTCAGGTTAAATTTTATGGTTACGGTTGCTTACCATGAAGTTGTGGTCAGATCAACTTAAAAATTAGTTTACATGTTCATTTTGATATGAACTTTTAAGATTGTTTGCCAACTTATAGTTTTTTACCTGATTTCATGGTTCATCTATTAAGAAAAATGATAGTGCGAGTGGAGCATGGTGTTCAGTGATAGTGCTAGTGGAGCATGGTGTTCTATGATAGTGCGAGTGGAGCATGGTGTTCTATGATAGTGCTAGTGGAGCATGGTGTTCTATGATAGTGCGAGTGGAGCATGGTGTTCTATGGACATATTAAATTCTTGTTTAAACATCATTTTGCAATTAAAAATTAGTTTGTGAAAAGACAAATGCCTCTTATCTATAAGTCATTTGATGTATCGATTTAAGGTATGATAGAGTTTGGTTTGGAAGAGGCTGCTACATGTGGAGGAGAGAGGTTACTATCACCAACTTTACATCCAGCAATGTATGGTAGTACTGAAAGTGATGAATATCTAGAGGTACATTACCATGATGAAAAACCTGTTTTGAAAACAAGTTCAGACAGCAGTTTAAACAAACCGACCAGTGATAAAGCTGAACTAAACAGAAGTTTAAGTGTGGAACCTCAATCTCTAACTATTGATAGAGAGTGTGAAGTAGACAGAGATTCAGAAGGTTCCACTGTGGGTAGCGATTATGTCAGGGTTGAGGCAGATATCAAAGAAAGCTGTGATACCGAGGCTGAGAAATCAGTAACTGAATCTAGTGATATAAATAATTGTGATAATATAGACAATATTGAAATAGCTAAACCAGATATAAGTGGAACAAGTCCTATTGCATTTTGTAATGGTATATTAATTGGTGCTCATAATTTTGGCGAGACAAAGTTGACAGCATCCAAAACTGAAACACCACAAAAATCTATAAACAGTGACAAAGAAAAACAGCCAAAAACTCCAACTAGTGCAGATTCTGTTCAGTCTGACCCATTTATGAATATGAAGTCAATTACTCATATTGAGGCTGTGCAAACAGGGGAGATCATTATAAATAACAGTTCTGTGGTAAATATTGAGGAATATGCTGAAAAATGTGAAGAGTTTGATGAAAATGAAAAGGCATCTACCTTAGAATTATCATTGAATTTAGAAGACTTAAAGAGAAGTAATAGTATAGAGGATATAGACTCACCAGAGAGTATACAGAAAATAGACAGGGAGGATTGTTTCTCATGGGAGGAAGACTCACTTCTCCTTACTATAGATCCTAACTTAGACTCAAGTGGAGATCACTCAGAACAATTAAAAGCAGTCAATTCAGTGGCTGAAAAAAAATCAGAAGCTGATAATGAAAGTCGTAGTCAACCAATAGTAAACCCTGTTACAAAAACTAGTCAAATACAAGATGGAGAGGTTGAGAAAAAGGAAAATGTTACATTTACTGATATACCTCTGACTGAAAATAATTCTCAGTCTAAAGCTGAGGAAAAAGACAGTCCTGGCAAAAAAGCAGCTGCTCTTAGAAATAAGTTAAGTACTGCATTTGGTGGCTTTAATGTTAAAGAGAAAATCAGGAACAGAAAGGCTAACAATAACAAAATGATACCAATGCAAGATTTGAAAGTCAAAGTACCTAATATTCCAAAACTGCAGCAGGATGATTGTGGATTTCCATTGATAATATTTACCAAGGTGAGTTTTGTTGTGTTTCTTTTAATATTAACAAAAACTATATCAGAATATAGAAGTACATACATGTACTTATAATGGAAAAAAATTGAAAAACTCCCAAAAATTTGTATACCTGTTGTTCAGCATCTCAGTATTCCATATTCAAAGATTACTAATATTTATAGTAGGTGTGATTGCGAATGAGACAACTATCATCCAGAGTTCACAGGAGTGTATGTAAACAATTATAGGTCACTATACAGCATATGACTAGTTTAAGTGTACAATAGGTAAAGACATTTGATTTGCTATACTAAATGTTTTGATGTTGCTATGTCAATATCACTTTCCTCGTAAGAGCCTCTACATTTATTCTTTGATCATTGCACACGTTTGACCTTAGTTATCCGAATCAATTGTACTGATGAAAAATTTATGTGTCAATTTTACACCTTGGTTTTATTGCCTATATGTATTAAAATGTATGTCACAGTAGAATTTAAGGACCAGAAATAAGTACATGTTTAATTAGAATTTCTTTTTCCTTATTAAAATTTATTTAGATTACTTAAAATAGACCTTCAAAAAGCTCTGATATTTGATTGTATTTACAATGGACACAAGTTAATTATCTTTTCAATCCAAAGTTACATGATTGTTTACATCTTTTAAATATAGCTATAGCCGATTGATTGAAAATAATAGAAACTTATTTAAATCGTAACATAACTTAAGTGGTGGTTAAGGATAAAAGGATTCATGTAGGAAGCTGTACTTGTCAATCATTTAATTTATGACTGTAGGACATATGTCAGATATGAGATGCTGGACAATTACCATAACAAGACTTAAAATGTACTCTCCATGTATGTTCTGCTTTCAGGGTTATATATGCCATCCATATTTGTCTCTGCAGTATTATGACCTACTTAATGATGTAAATATAAGAGGATTTGTGATTGGTGCTACCAACATCCTGTTTAGACAGAAGCGCCACCTAACAGATGCTGTGGTGGAGGTAAGATGTCTAGACTAGTTGTTTTTATGTTTCTCCTACAATAAACAGGTGATGTTTTTTGTCTGTTCATCTGTCTAATACTCTGTCCATCTAGCATTTATTCTGTTTATTCTGTTCTTCCATCCAATATCAGGTTAAAGTTTTTGGTTGAGGCAGCTTACCAAAAAGTTAAGGTCATATCAACTGAAATTTAGTACACATGTTCAATATAATCATTTAAAATCATATGCCAGTTTTAATCACAAAATCCCAATTCACATATCATAAAGATGAGGTATAAAACAAGTACATTCTTAGGTTTAATACTTGAGTTAAAGTAGTTATACCCCACTGAACTGTAACAGTATAATGTTTTTGAACTGTCCGTCCATCAGTCCTGTTCTTGTCATCACAACTCCTCTGAAACCACACAACAGAATTTCATGAAACTCTGTAGATAATAAGGACATACTATGTAGATGTGCATATACAGGAAATAATAATTAAATTTATTTTTCTAGGAGTTAATAAGCCACTTTGAACTTAGAATTTTGGCCTAAAATATACTACTGTAACAATTTGTCATTGCAACTCCTCTGAAACCACACCACAGAATTTCATGAACCTTGGTAGATAATAAGGACATACTATGATTAAAATTTTTTTCTAGGAATAAAGCCAATTTGAACTTAGAATTTTGACCTAAATTTACTACTGCAACAGTTTGTCATCACAACTTCTCTGAAACCACACAACATAATTTTATAAAACTTGGTAGATATAAAGGACATCATATGTAGATGTGCATATCCACAAGAAGTTTTTATCAGTTGACTCTTGTTGGAGTTATGAGTCTTTGAATTTTGTGAGATTTTGTTTGCCCAGTGACAATGTTGGGGGATGGGGTATGTGAGCGTGCTCACAAAGGTTCTCTAATTCACCCTGAAGTTGTGGTCATATGGACTTGTCACTTAGTACACATGTTAATTATAATGTGGGAAATTTAAGTTACATGCCAAGTTACAGTTTTGACCCTGATTTCACTGTTTACAAAACATGGAAATATGACAGTGCAGGCCAGGCATCCTGTTCAATGTACACATATTCTTGTTTCATTTTATAGTAGAATTGCTTTGTTTATTAGTCCCCTACCGACGAAGTCGAAGGGGACTTTAGGTTTACACTCTGTCCGTCTGTCTGTCCGTCCATCCGTCAGTCTGGCAACTCAGCTTTCCACACTTTTTTTCTTCGTTCTTGAAGATATTGATTTGATATTTGGTATATAGTTTTATCATGACAAGTTATAGATCAAGTTCGAATTTTGTTCCGGTCTGATGATTTAGTCCAGAGTTATGGTCCATGAAAAAACTCCATAACTAATGTTAGAGTACTATGTTAAACCATATAATCTGTACAAAGGGAGATAACTCATTTTTTAAAAGACATTCTTTGGTAAATTGTTTGAGGAATTTTGTGGCAGGTTTATATGTTATTTGTATAAACTAATTTTCTGAATGCTACATGTATATATATATATATTTTTTTTATTAAGTGAAATCCTTTAATTAGATAATAATCTATTTTTATTAAGGTATATATTTCATTACATTATATTGTGTAGATAAAAGTTGTTGACATTTTATAGGGAAGTTACAAATCTATATTAGTTTGTGACAAATGAAAGAAAAAATATTTGGAACTATTAATTATATTTGATTGTAATTTGAAAATAGATATACATTGTATTACATCATATCTAATGTTAGAGTGTTATAGGTTTTCCACACTTTTTTTCATCATGCTTGAAAATATTGATTGACAATTGGTAAATAGTTTTATCATGACAAGTTACAGATCAAGTTCAAATTTTTGTTTCGGTCTGATAATTTTGTGCAGAGTAATGGTCCTTGGACTTGAAAAAATTCACTCATATATTCAGTTTTCCACACTGTTTTTAGTCATGCTTGAAGATATTGACTTGATATTTTCTTTTTGTTTACACCATGACAACATACTTGCCAACCTCTGACAATGAAAAATCATGTCATGACATGACATGACATGTCAAAAAGCATGTTAAAACGCGTGATGTAGATGCAGACTTTTTAAAATGAACATTATACAAATTTGTTAATATGAAAAAAAACAATATTCTACTGTAATTTTTTATTGCATTCAACAGTGGCCTATTTTTGCTGCTTTCAAAACAACACTACTAGGCAAATATTCAAAATAACTGCCAGTTTGGTTACATTTACATGATAACAAGGCACACAATATATCATTGAGTTCTGATCTGAATTCAGTGTAAATTTCTTTATAACTGAAAATGCTCTCTCACAGTCAAAATTGTTATTTGGCAAAACTAAAATAGCTTTAACGTTTAAATAACAAGCTTTGAAAGAATGTCATGACGTTTTTTTTTTTTTTTGCCATTGAAAATGTCATCAACGTCTGCCATTGATCCCCACAAATTATATATGTTGCTATTGTCTGGTCAAAACTGGGTTGTTCATCAGAAGACAGCTGGTACTCTGAGAACTGATTCAACAGTTCTGTGATATTCCCTTCCCATATGGCCTGTGGAAATCTGTTGGCTAGATTTGAAACTGAAAAATATTTTATAATTTTATAATTTGAATACCATTGAATGCTTTATCAAATAGTTACTTCCTCTCACACATGTTTTTATGATTGATAATGTTTGCAGATGATCCTATATAAATATGAGAGTAAAATTGGGTGCACAATGCATTGTTCGGCCCTCGATCACTTTCTTTTGATTCATTTTAACATGGACTCCAAACTTTTTTGGTACGTACACATGTATCGTTTTCTCTTAGCACTCGGCTCTTTAGATGACAGTATAGGTCCAGAAAGTGACCTCTTTCTGCTGGACATTTCCCAAAAGTGAATCGAGTTTGAGAGAAAGAAGTCACAAAATCTTAAAACCTACTTACAAACTTACCTGAAGTGAAGGGCTTTTGTTGTTCGGTCATATCGTAAATAAACAATGGCGACTCAACAATTACTTCGAAATTCTCGGTATTTATCGTCTATTAATGAAAACACCTGTGAATCGCGATCTCATTAACGACCAAAAAATCAAAACAACGAAAAAGCGTGTAATGGCGTGTAAAGTGACAAAAAGCGTGTACTCACCATGTGACAAAATTCTCGTGTGTAAACCGTCGAAAAAGCGTGCATTACATGCAAATATCATGTGAGTTGGCAACTATGCATGATGACAAGTTATAGAACAAGTTAGCATTTTGTTCCAGTATAATGAATTTTTACCCGGTAGGGGACTATGTATTGCCATGCAATACTCTCAGAATGCTTGTTAAATGTCAAAATAAGTAGGACAACTACAAAACATGTGTATGTATTGTTTCTGATTTTATTTTCATTTTCATATATATTTTCTTTTAAGTAATCTATTTGAACTCATTTGTGGACATATTTACAGTAGTTAATGATTTTTAGTCTCAAATGTCCATTTTTATCCTAAAATTTTCTGACATATCTGAATGAAAAAATGTTTAGTATTGTTAATTTATAAATGTTTATGTTATTTGAGATATTTTCCTGGTGGTAAATCCCAGCACTGTTCATACATTCCACTAGTCAATTTAGACTTATCATGTTGTACTAATTAATTGACAATATTTTATAAACATCAATTCATATCAACATGGCTGTTTTAATTCAGAATCAACTTTATAGTGGGACCTTTTCAGACTGGTTGTATACATTATTATTGGAACAGACTGGTTGATAGAAATTGATTACCAAAAATGTTATCCTCAGTTAGAACACAGTGTGTTTATCTTTGTTTTTTAATTCAGGTATCTGAAGAGAAAATAGAGTTCCATGACAAAGAGTTACAGAAAGTGTTAAACCTGACAACTGCTGATCTAAGATTTGCTGATATACTTGTTAAGGCTGTGGTCGGTGACAATGAAGATTCACTGTTTGAAACAACGGGTAATTGTTAATTTGGACTAAATCCCAATAGTTACTGGCTAGTAAGCTATAAGTCAACTATTTTCGCCATCTGTGTACACACAACATAGAGCTGTGAGTTGAACATTCTGTAACACCTTACACGCCTAGGTCAAACAATTTATTTGAATATTATGAATTCAGATATTCAATTTACAAAATGTTCATTGAGTGTCACTTGGTGTGTTTGTACATGTAGAAACATACTTGTAAAAAAAAACCCAACATTTTATTAAAAAAATTCACAAGTTGCAGAAGGAGTATAAGAATATATGAATAGTTTATACCCCCAACTCTTAAGAGGGGGGCTATATTGCATTCAATTTGTCGATCTGGTTGTCCATTCATCCTTTCAACACAGTTTTAGTCACACTCTTATCAGGGACTATGGAACAGAATGACTTCTTATCGCACCGCGGGTAAATTATCACGTTGTGATTGGTTTAACGCTGTCACGTGGTGACCCCCTATGGATCCGTAGGGGGTTAGTAAATTTCATAGGGGGTTCATGACGTCACGTCTACTGTTAATGGTGACGTCATCTATTAATGTTGTTGTGTTTCATTGTTTATTTTTCTACAAAACACAGCAGAAAAAGTTGACTTCATATATGGTCAGTAGCTCAACAATTATGAGTTATAAAGTTTGAGCACTTAATGTATCTGAAAGCCACCTTCTCTTGTTTACCAATAATTCAAATTGTGAATGAGATATGCTTAGCAAGACAATGCATGGAACTTCTTGTTTATTCCACTTACAATTATAGATAAAGGGAGATAAGTCAAATCAAAATATTTCCTAGATATCTAGCCTCGCTTTATGCTATGAATTGTTTTAATGTTATGTTAAAATGCAACATGAAAGAAATCTCCTTCAGTGCTCACAACTGTTTGACTAGAAAGTAGAATGTTAAGAGCTTGGGACTGAACTTCCCATGCCTCCTTTTTTGCTCTCCAGTGGCATTGTAAAGTGATAGGTAGTTGTGCAGGATGTTACATGTAGGTTATGATTTATTATTATAATAGAAAATCATGGTCCACTGTAATACTTTGTCACTAATGTGTTATGTTGGTGCATAAAATAAGTGGTGAGTAAATGAAATTCTCCCAGTTGACATATGATGACATCATATTTTTATTTTTAGTTTTTATTGTGCAGTTGAAAAAGGTGGTAGATTTGATACTTGTTGACCCTGTTTAATTTTTCAGGATGGGAAGGTGGAGATGAATGGTTAAGAGCACAGTTTAAAGTCTATTTACAGTCTTTACTGGTCACCTGTAAACATGATGGTCAGTCTTATGTCACATTTCTCTTTTATCTACTGCTTACATATGAATATAAAATTTGAAATCAGTTTCTGTTTGTTAGCTGATTACAAAAAAGATGTGAAAAATATAGAAGCATAATTATTTTAAAGGACCCGATGAATAGATGGACAGTTATAACTATTCAAAAGTATAAAACTTTATAGATTGAAATTATGGAACAGAATAATCAGTATAATAGCAGGAACAATCAGCTATAGGTAGACTATCCTTAATAATTCAGAATTAAAGAAAGTTTTTTGTTCTTCAGAAAAAATATTGGAAATATCTCACTAACATGTATTTTAATTGCTTTAATACCACTTTGTTTACAGTATCATTATGATGTCACAAATATGACCAAATAATTTTTTGTGAGAATATAATCTTACATTGACATGTTTTAGATCACAAATTTTGTTTTGGTCAGGAAGGGCATCCAGCAATTTCAAAATTTAATTATTTAATTCTGCATTGATACTTAAAACGTTTAAATAGAAAGCAGCAGGTTTATTAGCTAATGGGTAACAGTTTATTTTATTGGTGTAAATTATAAATGTCTACCATACAATCTAGAAAAAAATTTGGACTACAATAGGTCTTCTCAAATTGGAGCCTAAAATTGAGAAGAGAAAAGGTAAATTTTATTTTACAAATTATAAATAGTTAATAGATGCTGTCTCATTTCAGATGTGAAATTACATGAGGATTTTGGACTTCCATTTCTTCAATCCTTTAAGACAACTCACTGCTACAGAGTTTGGGCTGATGACACTCATCCAGGAATGAGTGAGGTTCCATTAGGGTTAGTTTTAAATAGTCTTAAAAAGTTTAAAAGGAATTTTACTGATGTCAAGATATTTGTTAAACCAAAAGATATTATACCATACTAGAACACAATTTATGATCTTTTTCTGGCTTTACAATGTAACAATGTTACGCTTATTTCGATGTTATTTTTCACCAAGAAACCACATTGACTGGTGTAAATAATAAAGAATGAAATTGGTGGCCCTAGGATTATTTAAAATCATTAAAACTGAAATGTATCTGGCAACAACATCTTGATTTTTTCGTCGCAGCATGTGAGACAGAGATATTACTATCCGGTGGCGGCGGCATAAACTATTTGTATAAAGCTTTATATTTCAGAAGGTAGAAGACCTGGATGCTTCATACATTGTATGCAGATACCTTATGTTACGAAGTTTCTGTCTGTCATATGCCCTTTGTCCTTGACCTCATTTTCATGGTTCAGCAACTGCTTGAAAAAAAATTACAGTATTTTTGTCTTGTGAATTTCTCACTTATTATGAGTAGTAGGATAACTATAATTGGTATATGGTTCCTTGCAACGTCTACATGTCTGTCAGACAGGGCTAACCTGACCTCGACTTCAATTCATGGATCAGTGATCAAGGTTAAAGTTACATGATTAGGTCCGTTTCTCAGATACTACAAGCAGCAGGTCAACTATATGAGGTATATGGAATGATTGTAAGGGGTACATGTCAGACTGGCAGGTTTCATCTGACCTTGACCTCATTTTCATGGTTCATTGGTCATTGTTAAATTTTTGTGTTTTGGTTTGTTTTTTAAGTACTGTAAGCAATAGGTCAACTATATTTGGTGTATGGAATGATTGTAAGGTGTACATGTCTGTCTAGCCAGTGTCATCTGATCTTGACCTCATTTTCATGGTTCGTTGGTCAGTGTTAAGTTTTTGTGTTTTATCTGTTTTTTAAGGGCCAAGTGAGCTTTTCTCATTACTTGTCGTCCATCGTCGTCGTTAACTTTTTACATTTTGAACTTCTTCTAGAGAACCACTGAATGGAATGAAACCAAACATGACATGAATGTTCCTTATGAGGTGCTGACCAAGTGTTGTTACTTTGTAGCCGATCCATCATCCAAGATGGCCACCAGCGGGGGACTTAGTTTAACATAGGACCCTATGGGAAATGCATACAAATGACTTCTTTTAGAGAACCACTGAATGGAATGTAACAAAACATAGCATGAATGTTCCTTACAAGGTGCTGACCAAGTGTTGTTACTTTGTAGCCGTTCCATCATCCAAAATGGCCACCAGCGAGGGACTTAGTTTAACATAGGACCCTAAGGGAAATACATACAAATGTCTTCTTTTAGAGAACCACTGAATGGAATGAAATCAAATATGGCATGAATGTTCCTTATGAGATGCTTACCAAGTGTTGTTACTTTGGTGCCGATCCATCATCCAAGATTGGCGCCAGCAGGGGACTTAGTTTAACATAGGATCCTATGGGAAATACATACAAATGTCTTCTTTTAGAGAACCACAGTATGGAATCAAACCAAATATGGCATGAATGTTCTTTATGAGGTGCTGACCAAGTGTTGTTACTTTGTAGCCGATCCATCATCCAAGATGGCCGCCAGCAGGGGACTTAGTTTAACATAGGACCCTATGAGAAATACATACAAATGTCTTCTTTTAGAGAACCACTGAATGGAATGACACCAAATATGGCATGAATGTTCCTTATGAGGTGCTGACCAAGTGTTTTTACTTTGTAGCTGATCCATCATCCAAGATGGCCGCCGACAGGGGACTTAGTTTAACAATAGGACACTATGGGAAAAACACTCAAATGTCTTCTTTTAGAGAACCACAGAATGGAATGAAACCAAATATGGCATGAATATTACTTATGAAGTGCTGACCAAGTGTTGTTACTTTGTAGCCAATCCATCATCAGAGAAGGCCACCGGCAGGGGACTTAGTTTAACATAAGACACTATGGGAAATACATTCAAATGTCTTGTTTTAGAGAACTATAAATAGAATGAAATAAAACAGGGTATGAATGTTCCTTTTGATTCGTTAACCAAGTGTTGTAACTTTTGTAGCTGATCCATTATTCAATTATTGTGATCTATTGTAGACCTACCTTATTAAATAACTTTAACGGTACCAATTTTTTTTGCAACAAAGGAGTACTTATTTTCATATCAATTACTGGGCCGAATAAAAATAAACTTGGCCACAATTTTCAGTAGGTTATCATGACTTGTTGGTCACAACTTGATCACTTATTCAAATAATAATGATAAGATGTCTTCAGTAGCTATTGTAAGACTACACTAAGATGACCTGCTTTTAATTTTAAATACTGTGCCAAATTAAACCAAACTTGGTCTCAATCGTTATATAATTTTACATGATTTCCAAAACCACATTAGATACAGGTGAGTGACACAGGCTCTTGAGAGCCTCTAGTTTTAGTACTATAAGCAATAGGTCAACTATATTTGGTTTATGGTATGATTGTAAGGTGTACATGTCTGTCTAGTCGGTGTCATCTGACCTTGACCTCATTTTCATGGTTCATTGTTTAAGGTTAATTTTTTGTGTTTTGATCTGTTTTTCAATTACCATAAGCAATGGGTCTACTATATTTGGTGCATAGAATAATTTTAAGGTGTACTTGTCTGTGTGACAATTTTTATCTGATCTTGACCTCATTGTCATGGATCTTTAAAAATGTTAAGTTTATGTGATACTTGTAGTAAAACCTTTATCTTTAAGACTTTCAACATAAAATCAATGGTCAGTAAAACAGGCGAGACATTTCAGCGTGTGCACTCTTGTTAAGAAAAAATTATGGACTGGAAGTAGAGAAATGAATTAACATATGTATGCAAATTTGTCTGCCATTACTTAAAACCACACAATTTCCATCAAAATATTGCATCAGAGTTTAAAATATTCCATGTCATAATTAAAAAGTGATTGTTGTTTATGACATCAGAAGGTTATTTAGAGACAGATCTAGCGTCATTAAGAGATAAATCAGCTTAATACCCAAAAGGTTGAATATGTCTATTTTTAAAGGCAGTGCTTTAATGCCTTTCTAGTTGCCGGGTTAATCCTTCCTTCCGCGATATCCAACTTATCTACGTGGGGGGTCATTAGGCTCCAAGTAGATCCGGAAATGTTGAATTCTCTCCTCTTCTTATTGTGATATAAAATGTTTTTTGTTTCATTTCATTTACATTGGGAAATAGAGAAACGATCATTGTGTTTTGTTAGTTTTAAAAACTTTTGATATATTTGTATTTTGCATTATAAGCAGTCAACCGATTGACAAACTAGAATTATTTGAATTCCGTGTGGAAAGAGCTCAGGTTAATTTCGAGTGTTATCTGCAATCTAGATGTTTATAAATCATTTCAGTCGTTGATATAATAATTAAGAGTCGACTGAACATTAATTATATTATACAATTTAAAGCGCATTTCTGTTTATGCACGTGAACCCGTCTAACGTTATTGTTATTTCGCAGTTATATAAAGTAGCAAATTATCGTTCCTGAATAGGTGGCGCCGTGGTAGCCGATCCTGTTCCTCAACTTCCGGTTTCTGCACTGTGCAACTATTTCAGTTACATTTTAAATTAACGATGCCAAGTACTTGTTGTTGTGTACCTGGATGTCATTTAAGAGGAGGACATGCATTTCCAAATGACTTAAAAAGAAGGAAAAGTTGGATCAACGCCATGGCCCAAACGCAGATTGGACGAGAACACGATTTCATCGTGGAGTCCATCTCAATCAGCTGTTGTTTGCAAGGCACATTTTACTGAAAATGACTACGTGCAGGAAACTATTCATGGTAAAACTCTATTTTCTTTTTGAAATATATAGTTATATATGTAATCGCCATGCGAATAAACCAAAGTCTGTTTACAACCGCAATTATCGTTTTAGAATAAAAGGGGGTGGTTAATTCAAGACGTCATAATTTTTTGGATTACGATTCAATGTGATCTGTTTGAGATTTTTTGGTGATTGCTACAGTTATAATGATTTCTTACAAGAGGTATATCATACTGAGAATTATTTTAGCAGTAATTATGCTAATGTAGTAATGACAGGAATGCATAAGCTATGCCTCATAGACTTTCTTGAAAAATATCAATGACAATGTTAACAGAAACAAAACAATGACATGCTCTCATCAATATTATAGTTATTTAGGTACAAACAATGTACGTTTGTTGCATACGTCTCTCATTGTTTGTCCTTTGGATTTACATAACATACATTGAATCAGGCAAACATAGTTTTATCCAGATTGTAATGAAAAAATCTAGTTAATATTTCGCCAGGTAATACAAAGTATACATTGCTAATGGAAGTTCATTTAATTATCAAAAAACTAATATTTTATAACCTTTTTCAGGGCGCAAACCCATCATACAGAGACTTAGGTCTACTGCCATTCCCAGCCTATTTTCCTGGACCAAGCAAGAGACTGAATCGTCCGCAAAAAGAAAAGTCAGGGCAGTGAAAACAAAAGAACTAAACTTGATGAATATTGTAGTAGAAATCTAGAGGAAAGTTTTGATTGTAAAGTTGGTTTTCCTGAAGAAGTCATTCATACTGCAGAAAGGATTTATGACTGTCCATCACCAACTGCTGAGCTAATGTTGAGCTTCAAAGATGGAATTACGCAAACACCATCAATGTCTATGTTTTCATCAGAGAATTTTGAAATGAAGACACGTGACACAGCCATGCATTTTTATACCAGTTTAGAGTTGTATACTAAATTTTTATTTGTTTTGACCACACTTGGTCCAACAGCACATTGTTTGAGATACATATATTTTCAAATTAATAGGGTGTCAGTTGAAAATCAGTTTTTTTATGACTTTGATGAAATTGAGGCATTATACAACCATCTTTGAACTTTCTAGATTCTAGATTGAATCTAGTGTTAAGAATATTGTGTATACATGGATTGTTTTTATGCCTA